GATCTTGAATGTGCTCTGGACCTACTGGGATGGCCACAAACAGCATTTTGCTATCTATATATTTAAAACCCTAAGCGATCTTTCGCCCATTCAACCAGTCGCTATTACACTCACAGACCACCAGTGGGCAGATGCTCAATGCAGGAGGTGCCCCTGGTGGTCAGTGTGCTCCCACAGCAGGAGCGCTGCTCACCTGACAGCGCCAGACACTGGGCTCATGGCTGGCAAGCACAGCTGCAGTGGCATGAGCCTCTCCTGCCTCAGCAGCAGCAGCAGCAGCAGCAGCAGCAGGCACAGCGGGCCGCGATTAGTGGGAGCACCCAGCCTGGGCTCAGGCTCCTCCCTATCCAGCTGCCGCTTTTATGCACTACATCCCTTGGCAAATGTCGAACTGCTGGTTTTGTCCTGATCTGGTCTGGCAGTCCAACATCCCCTGGGAGATCCCAGATTGCAAGAGGGACCAGGCCAGACTAAGGGACCCCACAGGTGCCTCTAGTCCTATATAATAAAAGCCTAATATGCTAAGTGTCTAGTCATCTGTTCAACCAATCAAAGCGTAATATGCTAATGATATGCTAAGGCTGCTCAATGCTTGCTATGACACGCACTGACCACCAGGGGGCAGATGCTCTGACCAGCAGGTTAGCTTGAGGCTGAGGTCCAACCAATTGAGACTGAGTGAGAGAGGCTGGACACACCCTGGAGCCCTCCCACTGTCCCTCCTCAGTTGGCAACCTCCTGTATCCTTCCCCAGCCCTGATCATGCACTGATGGGGTACCTCGGCCTGGCCTGCACCCTCTCGCAATTCAGGACCCCTCAGGGGATGTCAAAGCACCGGTTTTGGCCTGATCCTGCAGGCCAGGCAGAGGGACCACACTAGTGCACAAATTCGTGCACGGGGCCTCTAGAATAATATAATCCCTCTGTAGTGAGACCTTTATTCAGGCTATGAACCTCTGAGAAGACTTATCTCAGAGATCAAAGGGAAATGGTGCAGGAAATGGTGCTTCTTGATGAGCAAGGAGGTATGCTTCCTGTCTCTAGGGCAGAACTGTCTTCTCTCCTCAACTTTCACCCCAAAAAATTCTGGGAGGGCAGCAACTCATTCACTGTTGCAGACGGAGTGCCTTGCTCAGGAGACACTGCAGCAGACGCCACTGAAAGCTGTGGAGAAAGCAGCACCAGCACCAGCGACGGAGAGGGGCCTGGTCTCCCTCGGAAACCATATTCTAAGAGAAAACAGCACTCTCCAGGCCAACATAAAAGAAAAACAATGAGGTCAAATAATCGCTGAGTTCTAGGCTAGAGCCGACAAATGAGAAACAGTGATTTTGCTAGAGATGACAAAGGGCTGACAGCAGTCTGTTGGTGTTTTGCAGTTAAACTTGATGATCTCATCACAGAATCACCAAATACCGGAGCTGGGGGAGATTTTAGGGAATTTTGGACCATTTCGCTCCTTTGACAGATGAGGAAATGAAGATGAAATGCCGGGGCCGGGGCCAGCTGTTTCCACACGTCAGGGTCAGCAGGTGGGTTCACTGCCTTCCCCATATGTAGGCTCAAAAGAGTTTTCAGAAGCTGGAGAGATGTGCTTTTAAAGTCTGCAGTTTGTTCCCAAGTTAAAGTCCCCATTTAAAGCTCCCTGTGGAAAAACAAACCCTCCCTTGATGAGCTTGTCCTCTTCCTCTCTGTGAAGGGACACTGCCCTTTGCACCTGGCTGCCAGGAGCTCAGCTCCATCGAACACTTAGCCCTCGTAACAGTAACGGCCCCGTTTTTGACAAACATACTTATTTCCCCTCCTCTTTATGTCTTTTCATTATTTTACAACTATTTCAATGGCTTTGTTGTATATGCATTTTTTTTGTAAGTCACCTCAAATTCTGTTTTGGAAGACAGCTAGGCGTAAATCACCAATAAACCAAAATAGAAAAATTTTGCTTCTCTTGAGCACTGCAACTGCTGCCAGCTGTGTGTGTTTCAGATCCCACCCTTGACCTAAAACTCGGACACCTCCCGGCTTAACATTCACGGAGCGGAAAGGCCACGACAGGGCGACTGCACACACGTGACTAATTACAAACATCAGGGTCTGCCTGCTAACTAGACGAGGCCCCGGAAACTTCTCTGGAATTAAAACAAGATGTGGAGGAGATGAGCTTCCTGCGCGACGTGGCAGGCCTGGCAGGCCTTCACCAGCAGCCAGGCGGGCGGGGCAGCCCTGGCCGGTCCGCAGGTGGTGAGCCCTTTCTGACCAGCTCCAACCTCTGCTGGCTCCTCCCCCTTGGGAAGCCAGATCCCGCCGCAGCCTTCATCTCTCTGGATTCTAGCCATGTAGAGATTAAAGCACTCATCTTTCTGAAAACATGAGGCTTTTTTCCTCCCTAAAATAAAATTCCCCCTAAACCACAAAAACTTAACCCAGGCAGGATTAGAAATGCAACAAAGAAGTCTCTACCGAAATCCTTCCCCTGCTCCCTCCCAGCTGCAGTCTTCCGTCCCCATCTCTGTCGGGTAGTGAAGGAAGCGTTAATAAATCCCAGAAAATGTCAACTTCTCCAGAGGGCACTAGACTTTCATGTTTATGCATTTGACCTTGAGACTTCCTGTGGCTCTTTTATTTTTCACTCTTCCCTGAGTTGTACAATTTTGTTCTTTATTCCTAATGGTGTTGGCCATAATTTTCATGACAGTCTGAGAGAGAAGTTAAAAAAGATGGGTTCAGAGGTCCTCGCCTATGGAAATACTAGCAGTCCTTCCCTAACATCCATCTAGATTCTATTCATTGATCTTTTCCTAGCCAGAGCCAATTTGTCCAGATAGAGACAAAAATGCTGCTCCAACACCTTAAAGAATGAGACAGTTACAAAAACCCAAGTTTCTCTGGAAACATATCAGGGAAATTATGAAATGCAGAAAAGACTAGCATATGACATCAGCCTAACATGGCAGAGCTCACCTGGGCCCAGGCTGCCGCGGGACCTGTATACTGATCTATCGTGTAGTACCTGTGAGCTCCAGACAAGATGCCAGACTCTGCATCACTTTCCTCACCCAAACGGCAGTGATGCCAGTGTGTGCTGCACAGAGCAGGCTTGCAAACTTGGGTGCATCAGAAACTATGGAGGGCTTTTTAGAACACAGATCACGGAGCTCACCCCATGGCCTCTAATGCAGTGGGTCTATGCAGGTGCCTGAGAATATGAATTTCTACAAAGCCCTTTCCTTTCCCCCCCCCCCCCCCCCCACTGTGACACTGGTGCTGCTGGTTAAAGGCCATACTCTGAGAACCACTATATCAGGGTTATGGGGGAGACGACATAGTCAATATACATAAACTCAGTGTCAGCAATGGCTGTTTTTATGACTGTTGAGCACTGTGCCTGGTTAGTTATGTTAAATGGTGTCAGTTGTTATCTTACAAGTTAATATCTTACAATTTTAATATAATTTGTAAGTCCATCAACTTACAAATTATAGTAAACTTGTAGTTGAACTGTGATATAATCTATAGTAATAAAAGTGTGATATGCTAATTAGACCGGACACCCTTTCAGATGATCTTCTGGACCAAGCCAAGGTGACCGGGCCAAGACAGGTGGCAGAACCCCCGCTCCCCTACGGCCCCCGCCGCTTGCACAAATTTCGCACATTGGGCCTCTCAAGTCTGTTATAAGAAACCTCAGTATGAAAATACTGTTAAGCTCCTAACAGAAATACCCTTATTATAAAAAGCATATACACTCATGAGGGGTTGTAAGTGGTTTTAAATACCTAAAAGCAGCCGAAATCGGTTTGGCTCAGTGGTAGAGCATCGTCTGCGGCCTGAAAGGTCCCGGGTTTGATTCCGGTCAGGGGCATGTACGTTGGTTGCGGGCACATCCCCAGTAGGGGGTGTGCAAGAGGCAGCTGGTCAATGTTTCTCTCCCATCTACGTTTCTAGCTCTCTATCTCTCTCCCTTCCTCTTTGTAAAAAAAAAAAAAAAAAAAAAAAAAAAAAAAAAAAAAAAAACCAATAAAATATATTTAAAAAATAAATGAATACCTAAAAGCAATTATGTAGATCACTGACTCCCCCCAAAAAAATATTTTGTCAGAAACCACCTGTACATTTACTGAGGCAGAAGAGAAGTGGACACAGCCACTTCTTGGGGTTCCTTTTTTCTCTAAGTTACGGTAAAAGTGTCAAAACTCATTTAGTTATCATGGTAAAAAAAAAATCCAGCTCGCTTCCGGTAATTAAGGAGCCGGCAAATGCGGGCCTTGCAAAGGCAATTAGAACCGTCTTGGATCCTAAGGGGCCTGGGACACGCAACGGCTGCGAGACAAGAGGTCCTTAGGAAGCTCTCCACCACAAAGGACCTGTGGCGGCCAGCGCCCACAGAGGGTGCTCCCAGGCAGAGCTGTGGGTGCTCGGCTCTGCGCAGAGAACACCAAACTGATGTGGAGGAGCCAGAGGTTCTCTCTGGGGGCTCTGGCTTGAGTCTGCACTAGACCGAGGGACAGGGAAGCCCAGTGTCCTCTCTCTGCCACGCACCACTCCTCCCAAGGAGAAAATTTTTCAATAAACTTAGGTCCAGTGCTTCTTCCTTCTAAGAACAGTGATTCGAGATTCAGACAGGCAGCCAGTCTTGGTAAATACGTAACTTCTACAGTTCAATCAGATTTACACGTTTGTTTAAAAGTCTCCAATGAAACATGAGAATTAGGAGGCTCTTGAAAATTTACCCAAAGGGCACGTTTACCGGCATGCAAGGCGATGCCCTGCTTTGACGGTTTACATGTAAAACAGAACGTTGCCCAAGACTTCTCTGGAACGTGTGCGTGATCCTCGCGCCCTCGTGGGAGCCCTCGGTGGGCGCCCGAGGGTGGGTCTTCGCCGCCCGCAGGTTCGGGCCCAGCTGGCAGCTCCGTGCGCTCTGCCCGCCGCGCGGCACAGCCTCCGGCCGGGCGGGGGGCGCGCGCGGCGGGCGGGACTCGGAGATGCCACGACTCACCTCGCCAACTTCTCCGGGCGCGGCGCGCCCGGGCGGCGGCCGGCTCCGGGGCGCGGACGCGGGGGCCGGTGCCGCGGGGCGTCTGGGCCCGCCCAGGTGGGGGCGCCCCGGCCGGCGGGGCGCGCGGGGGCCGGCGCGGGAGGCTGCGGGGCGGACGCGGGGCGCGCGGGCGGCGGGGGAGGGGGTCCGGGACGCAGGGCCCGCAGCGCGAGCAGCAGCACCGACAGCGCGAGTAGCAGCAGCGCGGCCACCCGGCAGCGGGGCCTCATGGTGCGCGGCGCCCGGGGCGGCGGCGGGACAGGAGCTGGCGCCTCCCCGCCGTCCGCGGGGACTGGGGGCCCGCCAGCGGGGAGGAGGCTGCGGGCGCTGGCCGAAGGAGGAGCCCCCACGCCTACCGTACTGTGTGGAATAGCTGCCCCGCGCTCCGGGCGCAGGTAGCATCCTCGGAGTCTCCTCTTACTCCCCCACTAGGTCCAGCGCCATCCTCCTGCCATCCCCTCACCGCTCACTGGCGCCTCCACCCTGTACTTCCTAGTTCGCTCCCTCATCCTCTCACTGCCAGGCACTCTTCCATCTGACTACTTATTCCAGGCATTTCCCCTGTAATTTAGCTCCATCCGGCTAGCCAAGCGCTAATGTGCCTCTCCAAACGTCCACCAGGCAGGCCGGCCACTGATGGATAGCTGTTGGATAAAATAGACTCAGGTCCATATAATCTAAAGAATTTACAGAATTGATTTCAGAGTCTAGGTTTGAAATCTAACTCTGCTGCTTACTTGGTGAGGCTGAGCAAATTGCACGATTTTCCTGGATTCAACCTCCCTGCATGAAAATGGGGGAGCTGGCTGCTCTCCATGAGTGCTGTGTAGATTTACATTAAATAATGACGCAAAGAAACTGGACAGCGCCAGGTTACCAGTGCCCAATAAAAGTTCTGTGGTAGTTACCACAACATAATGTAGCTTGTTCAGCCTATATAATAAAGGACTAATATGCAAATTAACCAAACGGTGGAACAACTGGTCGCTATGATGCACACTGACCACCAGGGTGCAGAAGCTCAATGCTGGAGCTGCCCCCTGGTGATCAGTGTGCACCAAGGTGGCCAGAGAGGGCCTAAGCCAGTTGTCGGCAAACTCATTAGTCACCTGAGCCAAATATCAACAATACAATGATTGAAATTTATTTTGAGAGCCAAATTTTTTTTTAACTTAAACTTTTTGTAATGCCACTTCTTCAAAATAGACTCACCCAGGCCATGGCATTTTGTGGAAGAGCCACACTCAAGGGGCCAAAGAGCTGCATGTAGCTCGTGAGCTGCAGTTTGCCGACCATGGGCCTAAGCCATCAGTCAGACATCCCCAGAGGGCACTTGGACTTCAAGAGGGGTCAAGTCAGGCTGAGGGACCCCCTGAGTGCTCTAATTTCATGCACTGGGCCTCTATTCCTATCTAATAAAAGAGTAATATGCAAATTAACCATCACTCCACTACACCCACAAGCCACGCCCACTAGCCAATCAAATTAATCCCAACCAAGATGGCTGTGGCCACAGAGAGCAGGAGGGAGGCTTGGGTTTCCCTGGCAATGGAGAAAGCCAAACTTTCCATACATCCTGGCAGGCCCATGCCTCCACTCAAGGATACAAAGTTTTAATTATAAAAGGTAAATAAATTTCAACAGAAATGGAGGCAGCTATGGAGCTGGAAGAGCAGGAGGCTATAGTTGCACTGGGTGATGGAGGAAGCCAAGCTTCTGCAGCCCTGGCTGGCTCAGGCCTTCACTCCAGGCTACAAAATTTCAATTGCAGAAGATAAATAAATCCCAGATACCTTCACTTGGGATGCTGGGGGCGTGGCAGGCCTGCAAACCACCACAGGCTCCTCACCCATGCCACCTCATGGCCCAAAGGAACCCCCACTCTGATCCAGGACACATTTCAGGGCAAACCAGCTGGCCCCCACTCATGCACCAGGCCTCTATCCTATCTAATAAAAGAGTAATATGCAGATTGACCATCACTCCAACACACAAGATGGCTGCCCCCATGTGGTTAAAGATCCTGCCCCCTGTGGACACAAGATGGCCACCACAAGATGACCAACAGGGGAGGGCAGTTGTGAGGGACCAGGCCTGCAAAGGGCATTTGTGGGTGATCAGGCAAACAGGGGAGGGCAGTTGGGAGGCACCAGCCTGTAAGGGAGGGCAGTTGGGGGAAATCAACCATGTAGGGGAGGGCAGTTAGGGGTTACCAAGCCAGCAGAGGAGGGAAGTTGGGGGCAAATAGGCTGGCAGGGGAGCAGTTAAACATCAATCAGGATGGCATGGGAGTTGTTAGGGGGTGATCAGGCTGGCAGGCAGAAGTGGTTAGGAGCAATCAGGAAGGCAGGCAGGTGAGCAATTGGGAGCCAGTAGTCCTGAATTGTGAGAGGGATGTCCACCTGCCTGTTTAGGCCTGATCCCACCTTGCCCAGACAAGGTTATCAGTGCTGGTGCCAGTCCAGGCCTCTGGTTGAGGTCTCAAGGCCCCAGTACATATGGGCTCTTTAAGAACTTGCAAAAGGGGGCAGGAAACATTCCATATTTGGGAGACAAAGAAGGTAAAATCATATAAATAGGGAGAATTCCTACATGTTGGGGCCCAGAATTTGAGAGACATTTTCCTCTGGACCCTGTGTAATAAATGTAACTCCATCTCTCTGGTATTGCTTTGTTCTTTGGTTTTCTGTAACATTATTGGTTCCCTGACTGGGAATAACTTGCTTGGCCTTTATTGGCCTTTGGTGAATGGGCCAGATTTGGGACCCGGGGTAGCCGGATAGGCCTCCGGGAGGTACCGTTCTGCTGATTTAGTAGAATTGAACCAGGGGACTCCGGACACTCCTGGACCTCATCCCGGGACCCGGCCAGCATTTAGAGAGACTGGACAGACATTTCTGGACCTGTCGACAGAAACTGTAAGGTAGGTGCCCCTTCAGTTCAACCCATTCCAAGTCAGTGGAACGGGGAGCTTGATCACCTCCTCAGAGACCATAGAGCTTCCTCAGACAAATTAATCAGGAGTCAAGAATCAGGTGACTGTTTACACTCTGGGTAAACATCTGGTAGAAGTAAAAAACTCGGACTAGCTAGTTATAAATGTGGGACTCTGGAGGTGAATGAAGAAATTATGAGTTCACCCTGCTGTTTGTTTGTGTGGGACCAGCCAATTTGCTACCGAGAAAGGGGGACTGTACACAGTCTTAACTCCTCTGATAGTTTCTCACCAAGACATTGGTGGAGAATTCTGTTCTGGAGCATGGGTGCCTGGAGTGCCCCCAAGCCCGTCTGGGGAGTTGGGCATGGTTTCCTTTATTTGCTCAGCTCCAGTCTGGGCTGGTCTACTGAGAGAGAGTGAGTATGGATGTTTGTCTGTCTTAGCATAATTATCTGCTCATTAACTGGTCTGTGTGAAGCGAAAGCTACTTTGTGCCTTCTGGCTGTACTAATGAGAGTAAATGTCATCTTTTTCTGTTGTTTAAATTGTTTTAAAATAGGACTGACCTGTGGTGATGATCTACAAAGGTCTTAAGCAGCACTGTTGAGTTCTTTTTCTCAGAGATGTTTGCTCTCCATCACAGTGGAGGGAATCAGCCCATTTAGCTAATAAAAATTTCTCTCTAATTTTGTATAAGTAAGGGTTTCAGTTTGCTCTGATTTGTAAATTTGTTGTATTTAAATTGAAAATTTAAAGTTCTAGGGTTAATTTAAAGGTATAAATTTGTGACATTTCAAAGAACAAAGAATTTTTATTTATGGCTTTCTTATCTCTTTTGGTGGTCGGAGACTTCCAGGGACAGGGCTTACAGCTCCACGGGGTGGACAGATTTACAGGCCCTGTCCCTGCCTGTGACATCATAGTCCAACGTAGAACTAAGGTTGAAGTTGTTATTAACTATCTATGGACACCCGGTTCTAATAGCATCTGTAACTGAATTAAAGATCTTTTCTTTCAGGAGGCCATCCAGGCTTTTGGTTTCAAGAAATCTCCCTACACACTCTTATCCTCATCTGCTATCTTTCCAGGCTAATAGTCATTTTTCCCACAGGTCAGCAAACCTCAGCCTTCGAAAGGGAGGACTACTACAGCAGTAGTCTGTAGTTTGCTCTGAAACTCCCACTGTTTCTATTTCCACCTCTGTAGAAATTGTCTTCCTCTGACTCACAATCGGAAAGGGAGTCAAGCAACTGGACTGGGGGATGGGACAGGGTGAGGAGGGGTGGTCAGAGAAATCAAGAGTGGTAAAAGATGCTGAAACCGGTTTGGCTCAGTGGATAGAGCATCGGCCTGCAGACTGAAAGGTTCCAGGTTCGATTCTGGTCAAGGGCATGTACCTTGGTTGCACGCACATCCCCAGTAGGGAGTGTGCAAGAGGCAGCTGATGATGATTCTCTCTCATCGATCTTTCTAACTCTCTATTCCTCTCTCTTCCTCTCTGTAAAAAATCAATAAAATATGTGTTTTTTTTTTAAAAAGAGTGATAAAGGAGGAAGATTTAAGATCCTCTAGGAGACTATGGGCTTAGTTAAAATCTATGAGGGAAAACAATGGTTACAGGTTACAGATTTGAATAAGAAAAAAGTATCCTTAAATGTAAAAAGCCTGGTTATACAGGATCTCAGACCACTTGCTTTATTTCCCCTGCTAAGGACAGAGTAAATGGTTAATGCAGAGAAGGGGAGGGGGGTGTCAGCAGTTATTAATAATTATGAAGCTGGGAGAGATAGGTTTTTGTTTATTTTTACTGGCTGCAGATTGCTCCGCTGGCCTAGGTGTCTTATCAGAACTTCTGGCTGCCCTGGTGATTTAAAACTGCTTGCTAGGCAGACTCATCCCCCAGAGCCAGATGAAAGAAGGGGGTGAGGGGGCTGATGCCGGAGCTGCCTGCGGTGGCCCTGGAAGAAGCCATAGCAGCTAGCAGACATTTACCTGACACCAGAGCTGCCCTGCTGCTGCTTAGGCCTTTGGCTTGCTGGCGGTAGCAGTTAAACCAGAAGCCAGTGAGTGCTGCTAGTCTCCCTGCAGCCCCAGGAGTAGAGCAGCAGGCCCAGGATCAGTAAAAGCAGCAGACAGAGCTGGTGAAAGCTCTCTGCTTGCAAATGTGCTGAGAGGGTGCAGCACCTGCCGCTGCTGGGAGCAGAGGGCTGAGATCCCTTCCAGGGCACTCCCTTGGGACAGGCCTGGTCGCTGCTCTGCCACGAAGGGGACTGGCAGGAAGGCAAGGGGCCTAATACCCAAGCCACTGCCACAGGAGCGCTTTGCAATACGCAGAGCTGTTTCTAACTGCAACTCTGGCTGTTTGGGTCTGGCAGCTTAAAGTCAAAGAGCAAAGGAGCGGCTCTCCCTGGACCAGGGAGCCTTCAGGACTTTGAGATTCTCCAAGAGAGGAGGAGTCTGACTGAGAGATGGCAGAGACTCTGTTGGGTTAGAAAGACCTAAGATCACACGTTAAACTCATAAATTA